TAGAACAAAAGAATAAATGTATATATAAAGAAAATATATTTAGGCTCTGCTAAAAACTGAAGATTAAACAAAAAACCTTTAAAACAGAGGGAGAAAACATTTCTTTCAGGAGAGTAGTAAAAATAACAGCTAAGTCTGTCATAGCAAATATTAAGGTCTGAAATCAATGTCTTGACATTTCTAAGGTACTAGAAATTATGTGTCAACAGAGAACTCTATACTCGGTGAAAATATGCTTCAAAGCTGAAGAATAAAATCATATTCTCAAACAAAGAAGACCAGAGAGAATTCAACAATAGTACACTCACGTTGCTACCAAAGCACCAAAGCACGTTCTCCGGGCTGAGGAAAACTGATCCCAACTGTAAGTACAGAGGTACAAAGAGGAAGAGCGCAAATGAAGAAAATAAGTACATGGCTAAATAAGAAGACTATGGAAAAATGATAAATATTAGTATCACATGTTACAATGAAAAAGACCACTGACTGCTTAAATCAAGAATAACCGTGCCATAAGTGGTAATCAGGAATATGGTGATATAACAAAATCAGGAATAAAAGATGTACCAATAGCAGAGATATCAAAAGAAAAGCAAAAATCAAACTGTTGTTATGCTTTGCATAGTTTAGGATGTGATAAAAGTTATTGATTTAGAGTAGACTGTAATAATTTAAGTATGCTTATAAATGTTAGAGTAATCATTACAACAATAATATGGAGATATTTTAAATAGCTAAGAGAATTGTTATGGTCAGATAGTAAAGAATATATAATTAAAATAAAGAAAAGGCAGGAAATGTGAAATGCAAGAACAAGAAGAAATCAGACAAAAAAAAATAAATAACAGATTCCCAGCCGAAAAGCACGCACAGACCCAGGTAGGCCCCATGCAATCCTGGAGGCCAGGACGCGAGAACAAAGACCCCGCTGACATTGCAGACTGAGTTTCTAGGCGCAGGGAGGCCCAGGGGACGGGCGGGGCGAGCAGGCCCTCGGAGCCGGCCGAACAGGCTCCCCCAGCCCCCCCCCCCATGCCTTGCGCCCAGGCAGC